ACTCTCCCCTCAGAGCTCTCCCCAGGTCAGGGGGATCCAGCCCCCCCCCCACAGTGTGCAGCCCCCACCTGGGTGATGCTCCAGTCCGCTCAGCACACAGCAGCTCTCAGTGGGACAGCAGGCTCTTCTGTACACAGAGAGGGGTGGGGGCGGGGAACAAGACGCCCAGCCCTGTGGTTGAAGCCGATACCCTGGCCGATACCCTCAATAATAATCACCTTTATCACCATCTTTACACTCTCTATATAGCGCCTTGCCCTCTATATAGGGCTCTTGCTGGACCCTCCCCTCGGATCTCTTCCCAGGTCAGGGGGATCCCCTCCAGCCCCCCCCAGTGTGCAGCCCCCACCTGGATGATGCTCCAGTCCGCTCAGCACACAGCAGCTCTCAGTGGGGAGGAGAGCAGAGGGATGGAGCCAGTTCAGAGAGGGGGGGTGATTAGGAGGCCATGATGGGTCAAGACCAGGGGGGGAATCAGGCCAGGACACTGGGGTTACACAGTGGAAAATAATGCAGTGGAAAAACACAGCACTAAGTCCCTTTCTCATATATCCCCTTTCCTTAGGACAAGAAAGATTACAACATAGAAACAAAAGAAGCTGCCAAGACATGTTCTGCAAAGCTTAGCAATTTGCACTCGGCTAATTTGGTGACCTAAACAGTCTTGACAAACTGTCTTCTGACAATCTGCACGCAACACAGCAGTTACTTCGTTTTTTCCTAACAATATTTTCCTAAGGCTCTTAACATTTTAAGAATCCATTTCCTTATTAGATTTCCACTTCCCACGTCTATTTTTGGGGGGCGTTAAGTTAAGTAGGCAAAAGTCCTTTTGTCCAAAACTGAGGGACCCCCCCCGATACCCCGGCTTGCCTCAGGACACAGCTGGGTGAGCTCCTCCGGTCAGGACGGGAGGCTGTTCTGTACACAGAGAGGGGTGGGAGGGTGGAACAAGCTGCCCAGCCCCTGTGGTTGAAGCCGATACCCCGGCTCCTCTCCAGACACAGCTGGGTGAGCTCCTCCAGTCAGGACAGGAGGCTCTACTGTACACAGAGGGGGGCGGGGGTGGGGAACAGGCTGCCCAGCACCGGGTCTTCGGCCCCTTCGGCAGACACCTCTACCAGGAGGCACTCCTGCAGACCCCATTACAGCATTCTCACACCAGCAGCCCCCCCCCCGTGTTTCTCCCGCTAATGTACGCAGCTGTGTGGACAGGGGCTGACGTGAGACCCTCTTCTGTGTCAGTGAAAGCACCAGAGTCACGTGTGTTCACAGCAATGTACAGCGATTTCAGCAACCAGACACGGTACATGTCAGGGTCTGAGGGAGGGGTCCCACACTGAGAGGCTGGAGGAACTGAGTCTCTTTAGTCTGAAGGGAGCATCCCACACTGACAGGCTGGAGGAACTGAGTCTCTTTAGTCTGAAGGGAGGGTCCCACACTGACAGGCTGGAGGGACTGAGCCTCTTTAGTCTGAAGGGAGCATCCCACACTGACAGGCTGGAGGAACTGAGTCTCTTTAGTCTGAAGGGAGCGCCCTGCACTGCCAGGCTGGAGGGACTGAGTCTCTTCAGTCCGACTTTTAATGTCAGGATCTCCAGCCTTAGTGTCAACATCGCAACGATACCACCTCTTTGATTCATGCTGTCTGAAGCTTCTTTCGACTGTAAGATGAGAAACTGTTGCCTACAGAAAATAAGCGCTTTGCTCAGGAGTGGCTGCAACAATAAAAAAAAAACTCGCTTACGAGAATCGGGACCAATAAATAATCCGGTTTCGTTTTTTGTACGACATGAAAACATAGTTCAAAGTCATAGAACCACGCCAAAATGGAGGACAATTACAGTAAATACAAAACCTGTTTTGATAGAGCCAATATTGGAATACAGGTCCTGACCAGTTGAAATTAACGACAGAAGCCACAGGGGTTCACTCACTTACAGAGCGCCAGAGACTTGTGCAGACCTGAGCTTCGACTGTGCCAGGAAATGATTCACAGCTGTCGAAGAGGCCTGACAGAGCATGTTCTGTTACACTCTCGTCCCCTCCAGCACTGGCCTCTGTTATCGACACACTTTCAAAATGTCTTTACTCCCGGCCCGGGGACGAAGTCAACCCAGCGGACGTCTGAAAAAGAGCAGGGAGACAGGAGCTCCTCGAAAGAGCATTCGGAAGCTGAGACACCACACTTTACACTGCGGGCAGTGGGGGTGGGGAACAAGCTGTCCCGCCATTGTTGAAGCCGATACCCCGGCTTCTCTCCAGACACAGCTGGGTGAGCTCCTCCAGTCAGGACAGGAAAGCTCTTCTGTACACAGAGGGTGGTGGGGGTGGGGAACAAGCTGCCCAGCCCTGTGGTTGAAGCCGATACCCTGGCTTCTC